TTCCTTGGATAATCCATAAAATGAAAAATTCAAATACAGATAAATGAAAGTTGGTAGTATATTACAGTGATAATTTTGTATTTTATAGAAAAAAATTTGAAAGCAAATTTCTCTTTTTCCTTTTTATTATAATGACCAGCTTTTAACATTTCATTGTTACTGAGATCTATTTTCAGAATAAAATTTTGTTTAGAAAAGAATTAATTCAAAAATTTAAAAATACATGTTTAAATAACTCACAGGACAGAAAAACATTGTAATAATGGAATTTAGAAAATGTTTCAAATCGATATTATAAAATTTTAAACTAGCAAAATATGTGGACTAGAGCTAAAGTAGTACGTACTTACATAACAGAGGTGTTCAAAACAGCCTGTTCTTGGGGTGGGGGCAAGTAATAAAATTTTAAATTTTCTAGAAATGTTGATTAAAAAAAAAAAAGAGGGCACAAATAAATATTATGACTGAAAGGTACGTGTTGACCTGGAGAAAGGAGATACTTACCACGAAGGGCTCCTGGTGGCTAACTGGGCTCAAATTTACAAACATGGCCTAGCAGCTATTTCTAAATAGGGGCCTCACATGCAAGCCGTGCTTGAGGGAGAAGCCTGCACTAAACTTCTACCTGCTCTAAACTGTCTGCCTGCTCTGTGTTCCTGCTGTCTGAGCAAAACTTATAAAAGAGTTCCTGGAATCAAATTTCAAACAATACGTCTGAAACTTTGCCCATCCAATCAGAGCTGCCAAGCTATAGCTCTATTAGCATCTTCATTGACCAATCAGAGCAGCCTCACTCCAACCAATCAGGACAGTGCTTTTTGGACCAATCAAACTGTGAGGATTTAGAGTTCTCATTTGTAGGAGGACAGACCAATCTGGGTGGGGGTCTTCTCTCTGTATAAGTCAGTCAGCTCCCCCGTGGCTCAGGAAGAGCACTTCCCCTTGGTACTGAAGACTGCATTTCCGTGGCTGGAGCTGAAACACTGAACCAGAGCTGAGCAGGTAGAGTAGAGCATGGCAGAGCTGTCTAGCCAGAGAGGGACCTCCCTCAAGGGCCTTCCACACCTGAGGGCCATCTTGCGGCCATGTTGTTCCACAACTGTGCTGTCATAATTGAGCTATAACACCATTGAGCTGTCTCGCAGCTGTGCTGTATCACAATTGAACTGTTGGCGCTGAATAAAGTTTCCTTCTTCACCAAATCCAAAATTAGGGGTTCCTGTTGGCATTGAATTGGTGCCAATGCCCATCAGTTGACATTACATGGCACCCAATATGGGGCTCTGAAACCTGATTTCCTGACACTGTCCTGAAACCAACACATCTGGTACTTGCGTGAGCCCCTTGTGCTCGAGTTATCATCCCAGCAACTGAGGGTCAGGTAATGTCCCCTTAGATCCAAGATCTCTTATACTTACGAAGTCTTGAAAACTTTGGATTAGATATGGGATCCTCATCTGATGACCTCAGTTCATACGTTTAGACTGAGAGGGCCCCTCCATTTGAATCGGCCTTGTTGCCTAGGAGGAATAGCTCTCATTCATGTTTGACACTAGGAAAGGTATCCCCAGTGAAGGCTTTCCTCCATCACATTTAGTACCTAGGGAGGATATCCTCCAGTCGAATTTGGTACTGGGAAGGGTATCCTACAAGTTGGGACTAGGCCTTATCCATAAGGTTTGTGGGGACACTCACACTAACAGGCACCCCAAAAGATACTTTCTTAAGGAAGGTATGTGTGAGGATGCTCATGCTTAACAGGCACTGGGGAAGGGGGGGACACCAACCATAAAGAGGAGAGCAAAATGGGTAACCCATGCTCTAATATTCACAAGCTAATCAGCCACCTAATGACAGCAGGGAGGACTTTAGCTGTTGCATGTACAAAAATAGCATTCCAGAGAATTGTAATTGTAATGAAAAATAGCATTCCAGAGAATTGTAATCTGGACAAAAATCATGCAAGATCTCAAGCTTTTTTGGTCAAGATAAAGTTCCTGTAAAAACCCAAAGTTTCTCTATTTGTGTGCTCAATTAGAACAAAAAAAGACTGTTCTTCCCAGAAACAATGGAAAGTCTTTTTTTTTAATTGGTAACTTGAGAGCTCTAAATGAAATCAAAAGGCTACTATTGCCTCCCTTAGGAAAAAATAATTCCAAATTGGGTAAATGCCTTGATAAATTAAAAAAGAAACTGGCATTTATGAAATTGAAACAAACCGGATCATTGGAAAACTTTTCCTCTGACCCTTGCGCTTGCAACTCTAAAGCCAGGTTTACTGGCTTTAAATCCCTCACCGCTGCCTTGTCCACTGCCCTGCCCTGCCTACCTTCTGCATAGAAACAAAGAGCCTAAACACAATGTTAGCAGTCACATCTAGCAACGTATAAAACATGCTTTCTATTGGGAATAAGGAATGATTCAACATTAGAATTTAATTTACCACATTAACAAATTAATGGAGAAAAATCATGTGATCATCTCAATAGATGAAGAAAATTCACAACATAAATTTCAACATGCATTAATGATTTTTAAAATTCTTATAGTAGAAATAGAAGGAAATTCTTAATCTGATAAAGGGCACCTTCATATTTAACGGAAAAATGTTAAGGGTCTCCATGGAGGGGAGGACAGCAAATAAATAGCTATTTAAGGAATTAAACAGAACACCAGTCCCTCTCTACTCTGTGTTAAGCAATCACCCAGAACATCACTCACCTTTGTTATAGCTGCAACCTCTTCTTGTCCCAACTAGATTGTCACTATGGTGCGGGTGGCCACTGTTGGACTGTCCATCAAGAAGCCAAAAGAGACCATGAAATGACCAAATAGGTAGCCAACCTCTTTAGGTAAAGGTAAGATTTTCTTGACATTATTTCATGTGTGAACTCAATTTTGGAAAATGGAAAGCTAGCCATGAGTCCAGAGGGTCTGACTTTTCTGGAGAGCTAAAGAGAAAGGATTTGAATGGGAAGGCAGTATTTTGTGGTTACAGACTTTAGGGAATCAGAGGAAGAAATGAGGGAGATGACTAAAATATTTTATTTGACACATTATCAAGGTCCCCTATGGGTATCTATGGGCAGATTTCTCCCAAAACATATTCTGGGAAAGGATTTGTGTGCAAGTAGTGTATTTGGGAAATGACCCCAGGAAACACCAGTAGAGTGGAAAAGTGAGACAGGGAAGGGGAGAAAGCCAATATAGGTTACCACTCTGGGCAACGAGGGCTCAATTCCACTGCAGAACATGCCAGAGATTGTCTCACTTGTGGAGCAAGGAAGAGAGAGGCAAAGGATCTAGAGTATTCATACCTATCATGGCTAAGGCCTTCCAGGAGCAGCATTACCTCCCTGGCACTTCCAGTTGTGGGCATGCTCAGGCTAAAAGAAAGCTCATGATTCTTAGAGAATCACGGATGGTTGCAGTAGAACAGATATGGGTGAGGGGGCAGAGGTACTATCTGCAACCAGGGCTCTGTGAAGTCCACATTATACTGCTTCATGTAACAGAGATTTGCAGACATACTCCTAGATTGGTGTGAGTAGATGGCAAATCTGAGCAAGCACCTCCATTTTGGGCTTAGTCACATTTGGTAAACTGAGGCAAGTTAGTAACTCATCTACCTCTTCTAAAATTTTCTCAAAACCCCCCCCCCCGCCCCCTAAAAGCAGGGCCAGTCACTCCTCTCTACTGTCAGAACACTTGCGTATTTTCTGGAGCATTTCCACAATAGGTGCCAATTAGCTTCCATCATCTTCCACTTGTAGGACTTATCTGCTGCTTCTGGCTGACTAATAAAAACTGAAGCACCATTATTAATTCATCCATTCCTTCAACAAATATTTACTGAATAGTGTCTTAGTTTGTGTTTCTCTAAAGGCAGACTGAGACGAGATAAGATGCAAGCAGTTTATTTCAGATAGGGGGCCAAGGAAGAAGGGAAACCCAACACAGGGTTTGGGCATGACTGAGCTGTTACCACTGTGGACAACTAAGGCTCAATCCTGCTCCCATGAAGCATAGAAGGCTGAAGCATTCATCCCCAATTAGTTAAGGGTTGGCTTCCCTGAACTTCCAGGCTGTGCCTTCTCCCAGGGCTTCCAAAGTTCTGTCATCTCACAGTACCCTCATATGGCGCCCACACCTCCTTGGCCAGATGCTGTCTACGGGCAGCCCAGCCTCAAAGAAACTGGGGTTGGGGGGTTTTTGCTCTGGTGGGAAGGAGACATGGAGGAGACATCTGGGCAGCCCCTACCACCAGGATCCTTCAGTAAACTAGGGGTCTGCATCTATAACTAACACAAGTCAGGAGATGGCAAGATTGGTGGCTTCTAGTAAGGGATAGGAAAAATGGGAGTCGAGAATAGGAAAGATTTGATTGCACTGCCCATTTTGTTGTGGTTGCATTTTCTATCATATACCTTCCCAAAAAAGAGGAGGAGGGTGTTAACTTTATATGAGGACGCAAGGAAAATTCAAAAATTCCACAAGCTGGTCAAGGCTGTAAGTTGGGGTGGTAAAACTTCTCAGCCAAGCACAACAAAGGCCTGCTCCACCGCGCCGTGAGGAACCCCTATAAGCTGGAACAGGAGCTGAATCTAGCTGGCGAGGGCTGCACTGGGGCGCTGGAGGCCCACACAGGCCGAGGCCCCAATTCTTGGGCGACTCCAGCCAGGATCATGGTCGGAAAGTACCATCACGCAAACCCAAGAGGAAAGGCCACTGCGCCTGCGCAGCGGGGCCCGCGACGTCCCGCCTCTACGCCGTGCCTGCGCACTGGTCCCACGACGCCGCACCCGGTTGGGGAGCGACGTGCAAGTAGGCGGGGCCCAGGTCCCGGGATGCGCAGGCTGGCTGTTGTCCGTGAGTGGAGTCAGCAGTCACGCCGGTCCCGACCCGAAAGCGGAGAGGCATCCTCAGTCGCCCGTCCGCTCCCCTGGGAACAGCACCTTCCGTGGGTGGGGCAGAGGGGCCCTTGCAGGGTAAGCGGCGGGCCGGGGGCGCGTGCAGGGCCGGGGGGCCTGCAGGCCTGGAATAAGTGACTGCACGTGGGCCTCCTGGCACGCTGGTGCGCTGCGTCTGGGAGTCGCGGCCGGAGTGGATGAAGGTCGGGGGCCTCTGGGATGCAGCACCGTGCGTCTGGCAGCTCCCAGGTCTCCAACGACAGCGCCTGAAAGCGGCCTCGGGGTCACTCGCTCACCAGTCTTCCCTCCTGCCAATCTTCCTGTCCCGGCTCCATTAGTTCTCCCTGGACTCTGGACGTCACTGACCCATGAGAGGCGCATTCAGTGCTCTGGCAGCTGGGTGAGCCAGGCTGGTCTCTAGCCCCATGGAGCCTAGAGCCCTGCTGCGTCTATTTATTCAGCCAGCATTTGCTGATTCTCTTCCCTGCTCTGTGCCAGGTGCTGCAGCCTTGTGGGCCTCTGGTAATAGGATACAGTATATGTAAAGGTATATTTTTTAATGGGTAGACAAATTTAAAATAGGAGAAGGACAGGCAAGGCCCCTTCCCTCCTGGGCCTCACAGCCCATTTGGGAAACCCAGGGAACAGGTAAGATTATGCCATTCAGATAGTACTGAGGATGTGAGGACAATTCATTCTGGCGTTGGAGTAGTGACCAGAAGAGCTCATGAGGTGGTCAGGGTGGTTCTGCCTGAGCTGATCTGTGAACCAGGAGTGCTCCAGGCTGCAGGAGGAAGAGGCCATAAGGTGGACAGCTGGACACCAGGCTGGACCCCATTCAGTAGAAAGCATTGGACAGTCCAGGAGAGTGGAAGAGGAGGGAGAGATGGGCAGGGCACTGAGGAAAGAAGAGTGATTTTTATTTTAAGTGCAGCTGCAAGCCATAGAATGGTTTTAAGGGTTGGAGAGAAGTCTGAATTGCTCTGTATATTATTATGGACACAGCCTCCCATCCTGGGTGTTCACGAAAAGGAATCAGTCACCTAAAAATATGTAGGCAGTTCCAAGTGTCCCTCCAAGCACTTACATACCAGGATTATGTGTATGGTACCACATATCCTCCATCCTCTGGAATGCGTGGGAGGTCTTAGCTCTGAGCCCCAGTGAGGGAATCTGAAACTTATAGGAAAGAAGGTCCTTAAGGATAGGTAGATGGTGACTGTGATTACAGGGAGTCTTTGACTCACTGTGTAAGAGCCATGATGTCTTGGGAGCTTTTCCTGTTGGTATGACCAAGCGTGAACAAGGCTCACGAAAAGTCTAGCAAACATAATGAAACAAATCCAGAAATTGTTTTTTGTCCCCCTACTCCTGCCCTCAGAAGGAGCATTTGGCTAACATGATGTGTATTCATCTCCCTCCTGGAACCTCATGTGAAGAACCAGAGAATGGGACAGCCGAGTGAAGAGGTCTGGAAGTACCTCCCTCCCACTGCATCCTATAAAAAGGAAACAACAGGTGGTATTGACATGGCGGAGTTACGTATAGGTTTTGCAAAGAAAAATCCATTTAAACCTACTAGGAGAATAAAAAGTGGTTTGTAATTGTGCTTTAATTTTGGATAGATTTTCAGCATGTGTGGCAGTCATTTGCATACCTGGCTGTTTTTAGTACTTTAACTGAAAACCTTGAAGTAACTGGCTAACAGATTAGGTGGCCACCATCCAAATCAGATAGAGCTTGTATTTCCAAGAGCCAACCTGCTGTCCCTAGCTCCTAGAAACCTAGCCAAGGGGATGGTGCAGACACCTACCTCCAACACCACTGCTCCATACTGATATTCTCCTCTCTGACTCCTATCTGCCCCTGACAGAGGGGTAGCCCCTGGCAGGAACCAGCTGGGAGCAAGGTTTGCTCAGCCAAAGCTTTCTGTTTGCCTTTGCTCACCCTACATCTTGCCCCACCTGTCAGCTTACTCTTCATTCCTTACAGCCTTGTTCTAGACTCTCTCCTTTAAAGAAAAAAACTAAAGTTGAATTATTTTCCTTGATGAACCTCTAGGGAGGCCTTAACACATTTACACTCTGGTGCCCATGGAAATGTGATTCGCCCCTCCTGCCGGTGTCTTAGCTCTGGACAAACACTTTAACCCACTAGAATGAAATTGACTTTTAGGTTTGGCCTCAGGGTCTTGGAGGTGCCCTTGAGCTAGGCTGTTTCTGGTTCTGTGTTCCCACACAATGTTAAATTTGGATTCTATTTATGTCATCCTGAACTTATTGGTATGTAACTTTAATGGTTGTGTACGTAATTTCATGTGTTTTTTGGTTGTCTAAAGTAGACTTGTATTAATAGGAAAAGTAAAGTGATGAAGCATATTTAAGTGGAAGCTAGAAAATCTTGTCTGTGCCTCACCATGTGCCAGCTGTGTGTTCCCAAGCAGTTCTGTTTACAAACATTCCCAGGGTCTTGGTGGGGTCATATGGAGATAAGTCATTGTATATTGTGTGATATAAGTGCCAGCCTGTGGGCCTCTAGTAATAGAATATAGCATATGTAAAGGTATTTTTTTAATGGGTAGACAAATTTAATAAGTAGCAACCTTTGCCTTGAAATATGATATACCATTTATTAATCTGATCATGTAGATCATAGTTCTTAGATTAATATAGACATGATAAAACTTGATTATGTAAAAGGATTTTATAAAACCCTTTCAGTTGTAAGGTGTTAGTATTGCTTTTGTGTCCTCCCTGTTGATCCTTGGAAATAACTGCTTTAGAACTTTTTCTATAAATACTTTTTAAATGTTTACTTAGCAATGGAAACTTAGGGTTACAATAACCTAAGAAAAGGAGGCCTGTGAGAGGGCCAGTTGTGGATGAGTGTTGGCTGCCTGGGGATGGACAGTCCCCAGGTTGTGTCTTAGCCTCTGTTCATTTCCGAGTCTTCTCTCTGTTGATTTCTTTACTCCTGAGCTCAGCTAACATCTCCTTAATGCAGGTAATTTCCCTGGCCCAACCCCACACCTGTCATCTGTCAGAGCACCAATTCAGTTTCTGACTGATGTCCTGCTATCATTTTATTTATTTAGTTATTTTATTTGTTTGTTTGTTTGTTTGTTTTCGTGAGTATTGGCCAGTTCTTTTTTTTTTTTTTTTAAGTTTATTGGGGTAACATTGGTTAATACAATTATATAATTTTCAGGTGTACATTATAATTTGACATTTTGTATATTCTGTTGTGTGTTTACCACCTAAAGTCCAGTTTCCGTCAGCTACCATATATTTGATCCCCTTTACCCACTTCACCCTCCCCTTATCCCCCTATATTTGACCCTCTTTACTCCATCTACCTCCCCCTTCCTCCCCCACCCGCTACCCTCTGTTAACCACTAGTCTATAGTCCATGTCCATGAGTCTCTGTTTGTTTGTCTTGTTCATTTGTTGCTTTTAGGCTTATATCCCACATATAAGTGATATGTGATTTTCAACTTTTTCTGTCTGGCTTATTTTGCTTAGCATGATTATTTCAAGGTCCATCCATGTTGTCACAAATGGCAGTATTTCATCTCTTCTTATGGCTGAGTAATATTCCATTGTATATATGTACCACAGCTTCTTTAGCCAGTCATCTATCGTAGGACACTTCAGTTGCTTCCATGTCCTGGCCACTGTGAATAATGCTGCTGTGAACATCGGTGTGCAAATATCTTTTTGGATATGAGTTTTCAAATCTTTGGTGTAAATACCCAGGAGAGGGATTGCTGGATCATATGGTAGATTAATTCTTAGTTTTTTGAGGAAGCTCCATACTGTTTTCCATAGTGGCTGTACCAGTTTGATCCTGCTCTCATTTTAAACTTGACATGTAGAAAACCTGGTCACTTTTGCCTCCTGTCAAGCAGCCCCTTCTCAAATGGCCTACTTCTATTGGTGGCCATCACCGAGTCCTGGAGCATCTTCTATGCCTCCATCTTTCTCTGCTGCCTGTTCTGCCTCAGTGAATTGCTAAGCTGTCAGCTAGCCTCCTTCACCCATAGGTATTGACTGAGCAGCTGCTGGGCTCTGGCCTTGTATTAGAGGTAGGAGATTTGAGATAAGTGGCCTGGTCCCTGCTCCAAGAGAAGCATTGTCTAACCAGAAGGAATAGCAGTACTTCACAAATAACTTACTCAGGGAGGGGAAGTGTATAAAACACCAAGGAGCCGAAAGAAGGAGCCTCCAGCTGCCAGGATTCAGGGCAGCAGTAAACCTCTTGGGTAGGTTTTGCAGAGGTGTAGAAAGAGGACCAAATGAACAGGGTGCTAAAAAGAAACAGCATTTAAGGCAGGAAGAATCTTTGCTGAATGAGGTGTAACTGCTTTGAATTTGATACAATAGGCAGGCCCAGCCCTCTTCATTTTCCTCTCCCTCCACTGCCTTTAGTCCTTTGTCCACAGAACTCATTTATGTTACCTTCTTTGCCTCAGTAGAGGGTTTTTTTATAGTGATAAAATATACATAACATAAAATTTGCCATTTCATCCATTTTTAAGTATATAGTTCAGTGGCATTAAGTACATTAACATTGTTATGCCCATCACCACGATCTATCTCCAGAACTTTTTCATATTCTCAAATTGAATCTCTGTACCCATTAAACAATTTATCTCCTGCCTTCCCACAGCCCCTGGAACCACTATTCTACTTTCTGTCTGTATGAATTTGACTATTCTAGGTACCTCATATAAGTGGAATATTTGTCCTTGTGCAACTGGCTTATTTCACTTAGCATAGTGACTTTAAGATTCATCTATATTGTAACATATGTCAGAATTTCCTTCCTTTTTAAGGCTGAATAACATATGAATATACTACATTTTCTTTATCCACTTGTCTATGGATGGACATTGAGCTTTTTCCACGGCTCGGCTACTGTGAATAATGCTGCAGTAAATACTAGTGTGCAATAATGTCAAGACCCTGCTTTCAGTTATTTTGGAGATATACCCAGAAATAAGATTGTTGTATCATATAGTAATTCTATTTTTAGTTTTTTGAGGAACTATCATACTGTTTTACATAGTGGTTGCAATATTTTACATTGCTACAAGAGTTCTAATTTCTCCACATCTTTTGCAACATTTGTTATTTACTGTCCCTCCCGCCCCACCCCCCATGGCTATCCTACTTGTGTGAGATGATGTCATTGTTGTTTTGCATATTTAATGATTAGTGATGTCGAGCATCTTTTCATCTGTTTGTTGGTCATTTGTGTATCTTCTTTAGAGAAATATCTATATAGGTCCTTTTTTAGATCCGTTTGATTTTTGTTGTTGAGTTTTTAGCGCTCTCTGTATATTTCAGATATTAATCCCTCATCAGATATGTGATTTGCAGATTTTCTCCCATTCTGTGGGTTGCCTTTTTTCACTGTTTTTAGTGTTCTTTGATGCTCAAAGATTTTTAATTTTGATGTAGTCCCCTTTGTCTTTTTTTGTTTTTCTTGCCCGTGCTTTGCTGTCTTATCTAAGAAGTCATTGCCATATTTAATATCATGAAACTTTTCTCCTATGATTTCTTCTAGGAGTTTTATAGTTTTAAGTTTCACATGTAACTATTTAATCCATTTTGAGTTCATTTATGTATATGATGTAAGATAAAGATCCAATTTCATTCTTTTGTATGTAGATATCCAGTTTTCCCAATATCATTTATTAAAGAGACTGTTTTTTCCCCAGTGAATGGTGTTGGTACCCTTGTTGAAGATCATTTGGCCATACACATGAGGGTTTATTTCTGGGCTCTTATTCTACTACATTGGTCTATATGTCTATCTGTATACCGCTACTACAATGCGTTGATTACTGTAGTTTTATAATATGTTTTAAAATCATGAAATGTGAGGCCGCCAACTTTTTTATTCTTTTTCAAGATTGTTTTGGCAGTTTGGGGTCCCTAGAGATTCCATATGACTTTTAGGATGGGTTTTTTTCTATTTCTGCAAAAAAAAGTTGTTGGGATTTTGATAAGATTGCATTGAATCTGTAGATTTCTTTGGATAGTATTAACATCCTAACAATATTAAGTGTTCCAATCCATGAATATGGGATATCTTTTTATTGGACTCTTCTTTAATTTCTTTCAGCAATATTTTGTAGTGTTCAGGGTACAAGTCTTTCATGTCCTTGGTTAACTGTATTGCTAAGTATTTTATTCTTCTTGATGCTATTGTAAATGAAATTGTTTGATAATATTGTAAATGGAATTATTTGATGCTATCGTAAATGGAATTGTTTTTTTAATTTTCTTTTTAGGTTATTCATTGTAATACATAGAAACAACCGTGTGTTGATTTTGTGTCCTTGTGACCTTGCTGAATTTGTTTAGTAGTTTTAACAGTTATTTTCCTCCCCCGTGGAATCCTTAGGGTTTCCTGTATATAAGATCTTGTCATCTACAGAGATAATTTTATTTCTTCCTTCCCACTTTAGATGCCTTTTATTTATATTTCTTTTCTAATTGGTCTGGCTAGAA